ATGCCAAAGCAGAGTATGATTTAAACCTCTTATGATTAGCCTAATCAAGCTATATATTGATTTAATTATATAATATATTTAATTAATATAAGAACATTACATTAATCTCATTAATTTAATTATTTTGATGACTAAACAACCCACTTAGGGCTTGATTGGTTCTCCCGCTAGCACCCTCCTAGCGGTTGCTAGCGGTCGGTTGCGGTTGTTAGCGGTTGGTACCAATCATAGAAACCGCTCCGTACCGTTTCAAACCGCTCGAAATCGCTGAATTTCAAAAGCTCCTTCCCGCAAGCGTTTGCGGTTGCGGGCGGTAGCGGTTGGATTTTAAAAAAAAAAAAAAAAAAATCAAACGTTTACTTATAATTATTATAAAATATATTAATCTTATATATATCTTTCATCTTTGTATCACGTTCTCATCAGAAACCCTAATCAATATTCTAAAACCTTATTTTCTCAATGTCTTCCACCCAAACTGATGAAAATCAATTTGAATATTTTTTTCTTTCATTATATATTGCTTTTCTTTTTGATTGAATATATGTTTCGATTTGTTTTCTCGAATAGAAAATTACTTGCTTTTTGATTGAATTCAACGTTATTTACAGTTTGTCCCATTACTTGATACAATTTTTGGTGTTAACGACCCAACATAAAGTACTATCTTATTATAAAATTTCTTTATTTTTGAATAATTATTTAGTACTTTATTTATGGTTTTAATTATTAAGCATGTTCAATTTTTCTAATATTATCATAATAATATATTGGTGTTTTTATTTCTTCTTTTTTTTGTAATATTTTTTATTTTTTTAGTCACTTTTTATTTAACTGCTACCGCACCCGCTGGTTTACCAGTCATAAAACTTCCGCAAACGCATCCATTTTCAAACGCTAAACCAGTCGTTCAAAACGCTTGGTAACGCTTGAAACCGCAACCGCCCGCTTCCGTAAACTCCCGCAACCACAACCGCAACCGCTGCGTTTAAACCAGTCAGACCCTTAGACCATAAAGAATGCGTTTAGGATCTCTATAATGCACACAATTAATCGAATTTGGACCATCGGGTTCGTTGGGATTGATTTCCATCTTTACTAAAATCCTAAAATTTTGGAAAGCACCACCACCGACCTAAATTATATATACATGATAAAGAAGCATGTAAGTATTAATTTAATCTTATTTGTGAAGTAATTAAGTATTTAACTAATGATTTGTTGAAATAAGTGGGATATTCCGAGTATTAGTTAACAAGACCTATTCATTCTAGCTAGTAAGTAAGTATTAATATATATGGATGTTAATGTGATATACGTGATTCATGCATCAATAGAGTTGAGCATTTCATGCACCCAAAAAGAAATTCCTCAATGCTAGTAATTTATGTATTGTTTAAGATTATGCAATTTTAGTGGTGGTCGATCACACACAAAACTGGCCCATTACTACTAAGCAATAGAGTTGCATGCCTTATGCATATATACGAATATCCGATGCTGAGAAACAAGTGTGTTATCTCATATGCATGGACGATGATGAATCCATGTTTGGCTATGTGTTATATATGCTCATACGATTGTCCTTGTAACGATTCCAAAACTCATCAAAATTTGATGAAAAAGTGAGAGTTCTCATATAAATGCATGCATTCTACATACATATATTCTAAACCAGTGGGTCCCTTAAAAGTTAAAATATAGACCTTCAATAAACTTAAGTCACCAAATTTTCAGAATCAAAACTTGAGACATCGAACTACATTCTACAATATTATAAAATGATTCATCATGTTTGAAGCCGCGCATGCATATTATACATGTTTGTCTTTTATATATTTGTACTTCGCATGAATATATTTAGTATTTAGTACTCCCTCCGTTTCATAATATAAGGCGTTTTGGATAAAGTATTTTGTTTCACAATATAAGTCGTTTTCGAGTTTCAATGCAAATTATATATTATTTTAACATTTTATGATTATTTCACTACAAGAAATATCTACATTGTTAGCAAGAGAAAAAAGCTATTATATGTCATCAATAGCGTTTTCATAAATGCTGTCTTATGCCCCTGTTATGGTAGACCCTCCATATACGATGACGTTTTTAACATGCTATAATAGACCCCCACATACGATAGCATTTTCATATTATAGCATTATTCAAATGCTATAATATACTTTATTATAACACACGTTTAGTGCTGTTTTATATAATGTCGGAACATTTTTTTCGTTATATAAATAAATTTTATATTGGAACCCAATTTTGTAAAATTTACTTAATTTGACAAACACGTCATATTATATATAACTTTTATATTTTATAAATCATCAACAAGTAATATTACATTAACCAATTAGCCAAACAAGTCTTACATAACATCATATCAAATCTTATACTATCATTATAAGTCTTAAACAAAATAGAACTAACATCATATGGACAGAGACAAACTTCGATCTCTTCAATTTCTTCTCCTCTATCTATTTCGCCTCATCAAAAGGAGAACGCATAAAACTTTGATTTGAACAATTGTTCCTATTAGCACTCCCGTCGATAGGCTACATGAAACAAAAGAACAAGGGGACAAAAGACACCATCTTAGAAGCCTTATTCACTAAGATGAAAAAAGAAATCGACACATGGGAATACATCTACCAAACATACACATATGTATACTACGTACTTGGTTAGCTTGGACATAATCATGATAGCCTTAGAATTAAGGTAATATGGAGTTTAAAACTTGAAAAAACGTCTTACCACTTAAGCTCCTACAACCACATGCAAGCTCCTTCTCCTAAACTATTTATTCTGCAAAACCAAAAACCAAATTAATAAATCGAGAAGAAGGTTGATTTGCAGATGGGAAGAGTAAGTATCTTAGTAAGTATCACCAACAAACAATTTATTCTGAAAAAATTAGCTTAATGAAGTTAAGAATCAGATTATACTGCAATAAATACACATTACAGTCCCATTAGAATATATACCGAGGAATAAAAAAAAGGGAGATTAAGAAAATACATACCCATTCCAAAGGCAGGAAGTTCGACATCATTGTACTGCTGCATATACCTCTAAACAAATCCAATCAACAAAAACTCAGTTACATCAATCATCCTAGACACAAGTAATAACCACAAACACCTAATTCCGAAACCAACACACCATGAGAATAAGCTAAAATAGGATGATCAAACTTGCAGCTATCTCCAAATTTACTTGTTCTTGTTTGCATATAGTGGGTACAATCTTTCTCTCTTGAAAATAAATTTGGGGTGATAAATGTGGGAGATACTAAAGCAGAAACCAAAATATAGCATCAAGAATCAATTGTATCTTTAGTTAAACTTACAATAAGAAAATACGGTTTGCATATAGTCATTTCTCAATGTCTATTGGAAACCATAGATTTACAACAAAACATAAATTATCAATCAATTCTGCAAAATCACAAGTGTTCCACTAAAAACATTGAGGTCAAATTTAAAAACAATTGTCTTTAGGAAATTCTAAAGTAACAAAGACTTAATCAAGAACACTACAATAAGCTATATAGGTTATAGATGTAACTCGATCTAAATAACTAAGCATCCCCTTAGAGATGATTCTAACTTTCAAGTTTTGCGTTGTCCAAACTCAAAACAAAGCAATTGGTCAAACCAATGCAACCTAGATTTCAGCTAACGAGAAAGCATAGAGGAAGACAAAGCAACATCCTTGTGCTTGACCAAATGTAAATCAAAATCTATACTAGGAAAAGTTAAGCTAGAGACCATGATTAAAGCTGATTTTTTTATGCTGCAATTGAAGAAACAATCATTTCCGCTACAGAACTAGAGAATCACGATGAGCAGATGAACTAGAATACAAGCCATTTGCCTATAGATCCTCTCGATCGAAAGAGATTGTTCAAGTCCAGAAATTTGAAAGCTTAGAATACGAGTCACATATCAATCGAATTAAACTATGTACCTTTGTGAGATTGACGTAAAAGAACAATGGTTTCTTGGTGTTTGAAACCTGAATCCGATTTTACTTCTGGGAATCAACGGCCAAGTTCATGTTGTTCACTCCATCGGTGATCTCTTCCATGGTTGCTAATTCGGATCCGTAACCCTAACTTTTTCCGAGGTAAGGGGATGACGAGTAAACAAAATTAACAAGAGACATATACGACGAGGAGAATCAGCGACGACATCGGCGGCTAGGGTTTAGAGATGAGAGGAGACGATTCTTCAGGATGGTGACGAATCACCTGAGACTGGAGGAAAGATGAACGAATGGAGGCAAAATGAGGCTGGCGAAGAGTTTCGTGGAGTCTATGGCGGATTGGAAGAGATCTAGGTTTTTTTGTCGTGGAGTCTATGGGTAATTTTTTTTTGGCTTTGGTATATATGATGGCACTAAAATTTTTTAGATCTGATATATATAACTCTTAAAGTGGATTTTTTCCTAGAAGTATTGGCATAATAAATGATTTTAGCTTTTCGTTTAGTAATTTTTTTATCTTAGCGTTATTTCAATGCTATTATATAGTAATCAAAATAAAACATTCATCTTTTATAGCAGTGACGGAAAATGAGCTATCTTCTTGTGCTATCAATGTTGATATTTCTTGTAGTGTTTATATTATGCAGTCTCTTTTATGATTAGCTGAACTTTTAAAAAGTAAATCTTTTTAATCTGCGTGCTTTTACCTAAAACGATTTATATTTTGAAACGGAGGGAGTATATTATAGATGTGGACCATGTGATGATAATGGTTGATGAGAAGGTGGTGGCCATCACATGTTACTAAAACTCTTTTTAATTGGTCGTTAAAATTGGCAATTAATTGCGTGCTCCAAAATAGAGGACCTTTGACTTTCTTCAACACGCAAAATTAACCTTTCGATAGAAGCCAACTTTATTATAGTGTTAATTTTTTGTCAACTAGTATTAGAATGCTACTTATTGTAATGTTTTGTATTATTGCCTTATTGGTCTTATTTAGAAGCGAGTGCATGTATGACCTTGATTTTAATGTTCTGCTGCTGTTTAGTTGTGATCTTTGATCTGTTACAATGTTATGAGCATTAAAATAAATACATTGTACCAAGTTTCATCTTTCCTTAGCTTGTGGCTATCACCAGCTTTTCCAAATACCTCTCAAAGTTAAAGCGTATTGCGACTCACACAACAGTATACATGCTTCGGATACAATGAAACACTAGGCTCCGATCTGCAACGCCTTATCTTCTCCTACATCGATCAGTTGTTTTCAAACATATTGATCGATGCATCGATTGATTTACTTGATAACAAGATATCGATGAAACGTAGCTGAAAGACGAGAAATTACATACATGTGATTGATTTATATATGGACAAAGCTGAAAGAGGAGAAGGAGGTGCAGCTGGTCGTCAACAGAGAAATATTATAATCAGTTTCAAATTGATCTCAAAAGACAAGAAAACAAAGAGAGACCAATCATCGAGTTACCTTTTTTCTCAGGTTTGAGTTCGCATGAGATAATATCGGTGCTACGACCGCAAGAGCGGATCTTAGCTTGGAACAGTTTTGAGTCGTCATCGGAAAGTAGCTTACCTTGAAAGGTAATGTAAAACATGATGCCAGCAGAGAAGTGATAATTGGCTTTGATAACCTTGACAAATTCATATTTTGTACTATTTGTTTCATTGAATCTCTTAAGGGATTTCCTAGAAAGCTTGTCTATTAACCCTCTGGTGGTTTCTGGTTCCAAAACGAACTGGTTTTCAAGATCGAGATCAACTGGTTTGTAATTGAAAACGCAGCGGAACTTGGCGAAATCAATGTCAAAACCCTTAAAAACAAACACACAAGATGAATCAACAACATTCTCCAAGCAGATAGATAAAGAAACTGACTCACTAAAATCTGACCTTGGACTCTTCGACTTGCTTCTCCATGAGGAGACACTCATCCTCCGGCGAGATCTTAGGCTCTTCATCTTCATGGCGTCTTATACAAGGATAATACCTTGTCCCATCAACATCATCCTCATCCGTGTATTTCATATGCACAGGTTCTAGCGTAGTTCTCCAATCTAAGACCGCAAATTTATTATCCAAACTTAGATGTATAGATCCTTAACTAAATTTACAGAGTAGGATTCGTACCTGGTAAATCACACACATAATCATCCCCCATCGAATCAGATTCATCGCTATCATCCCCCATCGAATCAGACATAGTGCCTTGCGTTTGTGAACACAACAAGAACCCTAACCCTTTAATTTTGTTTTCTTCTCTTTTAATTGTACTGTAGTCCCTCTATGTTTTGTACTCATCGCATTTTTCCTTATAGTTTTGTTTGCACATTAATACTCCTCGGATATATAAACGTACGTACGTATAAACGGTATAATGATTACTAATGAATGTTTCAGGTTAAATTGCATGGCAAAAAGATGTCTTATTTATTGTATAAAACAGTTCGGTAAAATATTTAACAAAATCAAAACCATTTTAATTTTTAAACATATATCGAACAGAGCCGAAAATATCCAGTTCTATTAAGACGGCTAATATTTAACGAACTCGAATTCGAACTTCAACTTTAGAAAGACACACACAGAGCTTAAAAACGTTTTGATAAAACATAAGAGTCTGAACTCTTAAGTTAAAGTTTTGAGCAACAAACAGATGAGAACTTGGGAGTCTGAAGTTAAGAAAACGAACAGGGCAAATAGCAGAAGTAGTACAAGTGTCATTACATAACATAGACTAGGTCAATTATCACAAGAGTGCTTGCGTCTGTCTGATCACCCACCCCAAGTATTAGACATAAGATGGCTCCAGAGTCAATCTGAGGATATCAATAAATAAAATAAAAAACTTTCAGCAGTGTAAGAAAAACCTCCTACCCTAAGAGAGAAGACAGAGAAAGGAAAAGACTCATCAAAGTAAAAAAGACAAGATATATATATATACCTTGGTTTCTTGGGATGTTCTTTATCCGGAGCTTCAATGGAGTGAACTACCAAAAACAAATACAAATACAATATTATAACTAGTTTCAAATTGATCTCAACATACAAGAGAAAAAAAAGATAAGAGCAACGATGGAGTTACCATTTTTCTCAGGTTTGAGTTCGCATGAGACAATATCGATGGTACGACCGCAATAGCGGATCTTAGTTTGGAACAGTTTAGAGTCATCATCGTTAAGTAGCTTACCTTCAAAGGTAATGAAAAACATGATGCCAGCAGTGATGTGATAATTGGCTTTGATAACCTTGACAAACTCATATTTTCTGCTATACTTAGCATTGAATCTCTTAAGGGATTTCCTAGAAAGCTTGTCTAATAACCCTCTGGTGGTTTCTGGTTCATAAACGAACTGGTTTTCAAGATCGAGATCAGCTAGTTTGTAATTGAAAACGCAGCGGAACTTGGTGAAATCAATGTCAAAACCCTATTAAAAAAACACACAAGATGAATCAACAACATTTTCCATGCAGATAGATAAAGAAACTGACTTACTCAAATCTGACCTTGGACTCTGCGACTTGCTTCTCCATGAGGAGATACTCATCCTCCGGCGAGATCTTCTCTTCATCTTCACGGCGTCTTATACTAGGATAATACCTTGTCCCATCAACATCATCCTCCTCCGTGTATTCCAGATCCACAGGTTCTAGCGTAGTTCTCCAATCTGAGACCGCAAATTCTCCAAACTTAGGGATTTATATATATATCTCTATAGATCCTTAAATAAATTTACAGAGTTGGCTTCGTACCTTCTGAATCATACACAACATCATCCCCCATCGAGTCAGATCTATCGCTATCATCCCCCATCGAATCAGATCTATCGCTATCATCCCCCATCGAATCAGATCTATCGCTATCATCCCCCATCGAAATCAGATCTATCGCTTTGCGTTTATGAACAAATACAAGAACCCTAACCCACTAGGTTTTCTACTCTTCTCTTTTGGCTCTCGGTCGGCAAGGGAATGAAAAATCCAATTTCTATAAAGTGAAGATAAGATCCCCTTTTAATTGTATTGTAGTCCCTATAGGTTTTGTTTTCTTTACATTTAGTCTTGCAGTTCCTTTTCGTACATTAATATCCCTCGGAAGTCGGAATAAATAATACAAGCTAGACGAGTCGGTTAAGGTTTTTATTTAGGAAATTGTTAAAAATACCTCTTTTGGTATATCTACTATATATTTTTGCAGCAGTTTTTGGGGTATCCAAATCGGGTCAAATTTGTTTAATTTTGATCCGGAAATCTTCAATCGGATCTTTCCTTAAATTTTGGTAAAATTAAAAAACGAAAATAATTAATAAAATCTAAAATATATATACTTTCTCAACTAATTACTATATTTAAACGCTTTATTTATGGTATATTTTCCACGATTTTTATAGATAAAAAAATCAAATATGATGATTTAATGCTAATATAACAAATTTGCACTAATTTCCTAAAACCTCTCTACCTAATTTAAACATAAATATATGATTCTTATTTCACTTTTATTTGATCTTATATTTATATTATTTTAAATTATTATAAAATATATAAATAGTTAGTAAATTTTAGTTTTTTTTTTCTGCATATGTTACAATTCAAATTTTTTAAAACGGACATATATTACTCAATCGATGAATAAAAATATGTGTGTAATCTATATTAACATTTTTAAGAACAAATTGAGCATTTAATCATGTCGTTATTTTATTCAGACCCGAAATTGAGTCATTCGGATCTTTCTTTAATTTTTACAATTATCTAAAATGGGACAGTATATCACGGGTGAAATCCTAATTAGTATTTTAAGATACAATTATAAATTGTTTTTACGGGTTGGTCCAAAAACACACACTAATTTAAAAATATACATAGAAACTATTTGAAAGCAACTTTCAAATTAACTAGAATTATATGACATTTAAATAAAAGTGTTATTAAAAAATAACAAAATGATGTTTAATTTCATTTTAGATTATATGGTTGGACGGGTTTGGGTCAATATTAATACGAGACAATATGCCACAGGTGAAATCGTATAAATAACAAATCAAAATACAATTATACAATCTTAAACACTAAACAAAACAAATACAACTTAAAATTTTTTATTTTAGATACAACGCATGTGACCCGCGGTATACAACAAAAAATATTATACACAATAAATTCATCAATTTATAAAAATAAAAAAATCAAATAATTAACCCGCGGTGTACCGCGGGTCATATCCTAGTCCCTTTTCAAAAATGCTTCTTTTAGATGTTCATTTTCAAAAATGCCTTTTTTTAAATCTGAAATTTTTATAAAGTTTTATTAGGTTTATAAGGTACTTATGGATTGTAACTACTACTTGAAGACTCGATCCAAGTATTTATAAGGTTTTATAAGGTGTTTTTAAAGGTTTTACAAGTTATTTCAAAGGATTTTTAAGGTTTTATAAGATATTTTAAAGGCTTTTAAAGGTATTTAAAATGTATTTATAAGGTATTTATAAAGTATTTATAAGATTTAAGATACATAAAAATGTAGTTTATGTATGTTTTAATAATATTACATACATATTTAGGTAAATCTTATATTTTTAAGAGCATTTTTTATAAGGTTTTAAAAAAGGGTATTTTTGAAAAGTGGCATTGAAAAAGTGGCATTTTTGCAAAAGCCCCTTTTTATTTTTATTTTTTAATCTGAAACATTAACGATTTATGTTAAGGTTCTGTATATTCATTGATAACAAAATATTTTATTATATAAAATATAGTTTTCAAAATTAGTATTTTACAGGATCGTATAAAAATAAAAATTAAAAAAAAGAAAAATTAATCGTATAAACAAAAAATATCAAAAAAGAAATATTATTAGTTTAAAATAAGAATAACTACAGTTACATATAATTTATAATAACTAATTGTTTGAAATAGGGATCCGTTCAAATATGTTTTTTCATATATTTTGTCAAAAGTTTTTTTTAATTAAAATAACTGTAAAATATAGATGTCAACAAAATATATAAAGTTTTTGAGATCTATAGATAAAGTTTGTGATAGAAAAACTCAATAGTATCAAAGATGAATGAGAATTAAGTATAGTTATATTCGAGTGAGTAAGACGTTTAGGACAAGTTACTAATATCTAAAGTTTAACTTACATTATAGTAATAATTTAGTTTTTTAAAGAATAATTTACATGATTTATGGATATATATTTAGATAGAGTAGATAAATTGAGATGAAAGTTAGAACATCAAGATAGAAAAAAGAGAAATTGTTAAAAATGTCCCTTTTTCAATACTCTTTTCAAAAATGCCCCCTTTGAGAGTCCATTTTTAAGTTTGCTCTCTTTTAATTTTTAATGACCATTTTACCCTTATTTGAAACAAAATTAGGTCCACAAAATACAAAATATTTTTTGGCGAGAAAAGTGATCCCGCAATTTTCCCGCCAAAACATTTGTAAAAACCTTTAAAATACCTTGTAAAATTTTCCCGTAAAAATTTTTCCCGCCAAAAGATTTTCTCGCCAAAAAATTTTTTTTGCGGGAAAAGTGATTCCGCAATTTTTTTTGGGGAAAAGTTTTGGCGGGAAAAATTTACAAGGTATTTTAAAGGTTTTACGGAGTATTTACAAGTGTTTTGTAAGGTTTTACAATGTATTTTAAAAGGTTTTACAAGGTACTTATAAGGTTTTATAAGGTATTTATAACTTGGAAAACTTTATAAAAAATTTGGAAAATCTTATAAAATAGCTTGTAAAATCTTATAAATACTTTATAAATACATTGTAAAACCTTTTAAAATAAATTGTACAACCTTTATAAATACCCTGTAAAAAACCTATAAAATACCTATGTAAATTTTTCCCGCCAAAAATTTAACGCCAAAAAAATTGCGGAATCATTTTTCCCGCAAAAAAATTTTTTGGCGGGAAAATTCTTTGGCTTGGAAAAAATTTTACGGGAAAATTTTACAAGGCATATTACAGGTTTACTAGTTTTACAAGTGTTTGGCGGGAAAAATTGCGGGATCACTTTGTCCGCCAAAAAATATTTTGTATTTTGTAGACCTAATTTTGTTATATTTCCTTATATATTTGTGATATATTTTATTAAAAAAAGGTAATTTAGTCATTTTGTACATAAAAAGGAGTATTTTTAAAAATGGACAGCCAAAAGAAGCATTTTTGAAAAGGAGTATTGAAAAATGGGCATTTTTGTGAGTCTCCCTAGAAAAGATGTGTGGACTTCTATTTAAAATTGAAATATCAGAAAAAAAAAAAAAAAACTAAAACAATAAGATGGAGTGTGTAGAATTAAATAGTTTATTATCATGAAATATGCTCTATTGCATATTTGTGAGTCTCTCCCCATTGCATATGCTCTAAAGTTCCTACTAACAAAACATCCCCTTTATCTTCGCTATTTAAAACAAAAGCAAAACATCAAAAAGAAAAAAATAGTTTTCATTCGTTTAATAAACTAAAACTAGTAGAATTATACTGCACTATAACACAAATTGGTGCATAACAAACTACATAGATATGATCGCTTTAAAAAACAAAAGTCTGTTCATTCCGCTGCTTCATGTGCTTCAACATTGGTGTACCTGTACATACAATTGTTATTTGTATCAATTGTTTATGTTGATATATAAGTATATTACAGAGGTGCTTCAAAACTTATCTAATCAACCTTATATCTAAATTAATTTAAAACCCATGTTCTAATTTCCATATCATACAATACTAGTTTAAATAATATATAATTTTTGGTATGAAAGATATACTTACTTGCGGTTTCTCATCTTCACACATCTTCAGATCTCACATCTCGATGTTTTGGTCAAGAAGCTACATATTTAAGGAAAATTTTTAGTATATACATACAATAATAAAATTAGTAAAACAATAATAGGTTAGATAAAAGATAGTTATGTACCTCAGGATACATGTATGATTTAATCAAAGACTGACTTCCCTTGGGCAAACTTACTTTTCTTGCGAATTTTCCATACCCATTATCTCCCCATCCACGTCCATATGAGTTTTGAAATTTAAAATATGAAATTCCATTTCGGTCGGTTGAATATTTGGTTAGTAAAACAATGTGTTTCCGAAGAACGAACGGTTTTATGTGCTGAGGAGGCCCATAATATATATTCCCCTATTTCAGATTTTTAAAAAAAAAATCATAAGTCAAATGTTATTTAAAAAATGTTAAATAGAGAATTATTATTTTACTCACCGTTTTGTCGGCTATATACGCTGTAGTGAATTCTAATTCGACAGCGATTGGTCCAATTGTCTTCAGCAGAAAAATTACTTCTTTTTCATCAACATTTTTTCCCTCCACAACTTTCAAATCACGAATCTTGAATACCTGTTTATCCTAATATATTATAAAATTTAAGGAAACTAAATCAGTTATAAATTCAAATTAGATATATTATATATATAGTTATAAAATTAACTACAAAAAAAAATTAGTTAAAAACGTGGCACTACCTTGACTTTATCGCATGCATCCGTGCTGCTTTGTTCATTTTTCCCCGCGATGCATTTGCAATCCTCTTCTCTAACCAGCCCATCATCTTTAAGAAAGTTTTTTAATCCTTCGTAACTCTTTAAATTCCCATTTGCAAATTTTTCTTCAATATGGGCAAATAGATGCTTCGGAGATAATTCCAGAAGCAATCTAGTTCTATCATGAATGTATAAGTGGGCCCCAATCATTCTGTTGTAAGCGATGGTCCAACAGTAACCTATTCAGATTAAATCACATTATTATTTCTCATTAAAAAAGTAAACAAAACAAACGTAATTGTGATTGATTAAGAAAAAACTTTAGAAGAAATCTAATGACAACATTTTCCAGGGACAAACAACAACAAACGTATAAACTTTAAGGTTGAATTGTTTGAAATTAAGGAAATATACTTTTTGTCAAGTTTCTCTAATTTAGGAGGTGTCTAAAAATGGCGTCACTTTTTATTGTG